TCAGCTAAACGCTTCACTGAGAAAAATACATAAAGCAGAAGGAAAATGGGACAGAATTCTTAGCATCTGAGTAGTTGTAGCATCATTTTGTACATGTTTTGACCTCCCCCCCCTTCGTATTTGCCAGACGGCCAACAAAAAACAGTAGCCCCCAAAGTCTGAGTTCTCCTCTTTGGTGTGAATGACTTGTGTTGTTCTTTATTGCTAAAAGTGCTGCAAGGCATAAGGAGTGTGACCATACTCCAGCTGCCTCAGAGATGAGCTGGTTTAGCAAGTTCTGTGCTGGTGCATCTGCTCCTGTATCTAAGAACACAGCTTTGCCTTGTGCCTCTGCAGGTGCATTTGCTTCTCTCTACAGGCTGCTGCTATGGGCTCCCCTGCTCCCACGTTGTCATCTCCATGCTTTAAACAGCGTGGCATTGTACAGCCAATGGCCATCTAAGGGCAGAGCACAGGACAAATGTCAGTCACTGGCAATGCTTGTGTCTCCTGAGCCTAAATGCTGCCTTCATAGTGTGGAGCAGACAGGTCTGTTGCTGCTCTTTTTGAGAGTTATTGAAGTAAGTGATGGCTGTTTGGATATCAGCAACACTTCTGTGAACTTATTAAGGACTTTCTGATATGTCTTCTAATATTTGTTGTTCCACTTGTGTTCCTCAAGAAGCCTCCCCTGGCTTTAAAATGCTTAAGTGTGCCGATTTTCTAACTTGGCAGTTAAAGAAAGCTATGAGTAAGTGGAGGCTACAAAGATGCTGAGTGGACTGAAGCAATTCTATGACAAGGAAAGGCTGAGAGCCCTGGGACTGTTTTAATTTGTCTCCTCAATCCCCTGCCCGCTTTGCTTGGGTGGCACCCTGCTAAGTATCTATATCCATGTTTTTATCAGCTCTTACTTTGATTGAAGCAGCTTCCAGTCACAGAACCACTGAATCATTTTGGATAGAAAAGACCTTTAAGAACATCAAATCCAACCATTACCCTAAACACTACCAGGTCTGCCACTAAGCCATGCCCCTCAGTACCACATCTCCGTGGCTTTTCAGTCTCTCCAGGAATGGGGACCCCATCACTGCTCTGGGCAGCCTGGACCAGGCTGTGACAACCATTTTGGGGAAGACGTTTTTCCTAATGTCTAACCTAGACCTCCCCTGGTACAGCCCGAGGCCATTTCTTCTTGTCCTAGTGTTTCTTCCTTGGGAAAAAAGGTCTCACAAGACTTGTGCTCTGGACTCTTCACCAGCTTTGTTGCCCTTCTCTGTACATACTCCAGACCCTCAGTGTCCTTCCTGGCATAAGGAGGTCCCCTCATGAATCACCTATGCCTGACTAGGTGCTAGGAGAAGATAATACTGCCAACATCCATACCCCAAATCTTCAAGCACTGACTTGTAGGGTGGAAAAAGATTTACAGAGTTAGATCATTGGAGTCTTTCACATAAATACTGTAGATTCTCTCCAGCTTTGATCATCCCGTCCTTTCCTCTGCAAAGTTTGGAAGGAGGTAAGCAGAACTTCTTCTGTCCTTTTCCTTAGGAGAATCTTTTGTGCCTGTAGATCTGGCTGTTAGGCATTCTTTCCTAAATTATTCCTTTCCCTAATCTGCTGTCATTGCCAGTTAGATGTATGACATGATATTCTCCATGAAGAATCAGCTTAAACCCACTCTTCTTAACAGCAGGAGAAAACCTCTTTATTACATGATGAGGGAGCCAAAAAAGATGTCATCTTTCATTATGCTTGACAGAAATGCTTATGTTTAGGGGCTTCTCCTCCTGAATGACCTCTAAGCCCAGGAAAATCTGAGATCAATTTGTGGTTCCCATGAAGCCCTAATTAGTGACATCATGTTACAACCCAGGACTTGGTGCTGGGCAAAGTGATTTTGTGTCTGTTTGGGGTGGTTTGGGGGACTCCTCTCTAGGGGTTTGGACATAAACACCACAAAAAAAAAAAAAAAGCTTTTGGGGTTTCCTGCAGTGGACTGGGATGAGAATCTGTAGAATTTAGACATTAATCTTTTTCAGAGCTTTGAAGTAATCTCTTATGACTTGATTTTCTTCAGAAGTCTGCAATGCAAAACAAGAATGATAAGGTTTTTTTGTGGCCTTTGGGAGGAAAGGAGTCTTGGAAAAAAAAAAATAGCAGCTGGGTCAGGGAGGGAAAGCTGAATGTCTGGTCACAAACAGGTATCTGCAGAACCTTGGGAGACAGAGGGAATGCAAAGCAGCATGATTCCCCACCCCCTCCATTTCTGTAAATTTACCTTACTGTAAGGCAAGTGTAGAGAAATGCTGAATGGAGGAGAAAAAACCCAACCATATTGCTACTTGGGAATAAGCAGCAGAGATAATTCCTTTATTTTATTTACATAAGATAAAAAAAATTGTAGACTGAATCTTGAAATTCATACCCTATTTTGGTCGATGTCTATGATGTTTTTTGCTTTAAGAGAGATAGAACCATAGAATCATTCTGGTTGGAAGAGACCTTCATGATCATCAAGTCCAACCATTGACCCAGCACTGCCAGGTCACCACTAACCATGTCCCTCACCACCACAGCTAGATGGCTTTTCAATCCCTCCAGGGATGGGGACTCCAGCACTGCCCTGGGCAGCCTGGGCCAGGCTTTACTGTCTGCAGGTGCTCTGCAGTGGCCTGCAGTATAGGTACAGGCAGCTATGTGTATATCCAGTGGAGGTTGTTTTTTGTTTGATTTTTAGTAACCAAAGCCTCGTGCTGCTGAGCATGAAGGACACGTTCCTGTAGCTGTGCTGCCACTGGTGAGGTGTGAATCGAATGGCAGGGATATTTCCAAAGTTTTGGCAGACATTTAGGAGATACAAGAATGATTCACAGAAATGGTGGATTTTCATTGTAATGCAGGGTCGCATGACTTTCAGAAATGTGATTATAATGGAAATGGCAGAGGAGCTGAAAAGTTATTGTGATTCTTTAGGTGTGGAGTCCTCTGTTAGTTCAGCGAGCATTATCTGGGGCAGCACTATTATCTGAGTTCAGATGTGCTGTTACCATGGATACAGATAGGCCAAAGGCATTCTAGCTACCGAGTTACCTAATTTAGCACTTCAAGTTTTTCCTTCTACTCGTGCGATGAATAACACCGCTGCGTAGTAAGTCGCATATGGTGGTATTTTGGATTTGCATCCCGTGGTATGAAATTCTAAGTATTTAACCAAGTCTGTATCACCTCCTGTACAGACCGACATCACCATTAATACCAAAATTCAGTTTGTAACACTAAATAAGCTAACTAAAAAATTTAGGTTTCCAGCTTTATATTTTATCCTTCAAGCCATGTTTGTTCATTTTCTTCCATCCTGTTATTTTTGTCTATGAAGTGTTAGTTTCTTTAAATTCTTGCTTGGTTGGCAGCAAACTTTTTTTTTTTCTTCTGTTAAAGACTTTAGTTTAAAGTCTTCAAGTAAATGTTTAGACTTCAGTTTTGACCTCTAAATGTCAATGCAGTTAAACAGTAATATTTTATTTATTTTTAGGTCTTAGTTTTGAGACTTAATTGGCCTGAAATCAAGTTCTTCCTATTTATTTATGCAGGGTAGGAATGAAACTCATTTGTTTTCCTGTACTTTTATTTCAAAAATATTTTTTATAACCCATTCTCTCATTCCATGTGTTAGCAGATTTGCTCTAGTAGCTTCTAAATGAATCTAGCCAATGCCGAGATAAAAAATAGATAATTGAGTCAAAGCAAAATAAACTTGAAATCCCTCAAGTGAATCCAGTGTTCAAACCCACAAAATGCCACCACATTGGTTTCAAATGAAGGAAATGAATTCTCCCCAGTCCAGATAAGTGTTGGCTATGTGCTATATTAGAAGAATAGAATGGGTTTAAATTTGTATATTATTTGAGTCCAGTGGTAAAAACCTGGAAATTTAAATCTAAAGGGCCTTTTGGAAGTGGTGGACTGAATCAGAAATCATTAACACGAGCCCTTGAAGCTGAAGAGAGCTGATTCAGCTCTGTCAGGACAGTTGTACCAGAAGTGTCATTGATTACACCTCATGAAAGCCTCCCATGAAGAGCCCGGTGAGGGTCTGAGTCCTGCCTCCAGCAGAGCAGGTGTCCTCAGCTCTACAGAAACTCAGCTTCAGATTCCCTCCTCTGTCTCCAGCAGGCAGAGATGGGGACTTGAAGGCGGGGGCTGGCTCTTGGTCAGGTCACAATGTGAGGTGCACTTACAGAACCATGGGCTGTGGGTATGGGAGGAAGAATGGGCTGTTGAACAGTGTGCTGCAGATGGCTGCGAGTTGTTTTCTGGCTGTATGCAGACATGTCTAGTCTATCCCAGTGACACTGGTTCTGTGGTCCACTTCTCTTAGCTCATCTCCCTCCTTGAGCAGGCATTCCACACTTACAGTTCCTGTAGAAACTGACTCTTGACATCCCCTTCAATACTTTTCTGAAAAAATTTCCACCCGTACTTGAGCTGCAGCTGTCCTGGGAAAGAGATCTTATGGCATGACACATGTAAAGTGAGCAAAGCTCTCTCCCAAACTTCTGGTACCAAAAGATCAATGCCAGCTCTCTGAATTCTTCATGCACGCAGCATCAGCGCAGTTATCAAACTGGAAACCTTGCAAGCTGCTGGCCATGGCCATGGCCAAACAACTGCTCAGTAATCCAGATCACAGCTGGGAGGCTGCTACAGCATCTGCTGCAGCCGCAGGGGAATGAGGAGTGCTATGGCATAATTATGTGGTGGACCAGGATACTAAGTCTGCTTTGAAAGCTGCAAAATTAATGCTTCTGACTAAGGGGTCTAGAAGCTCTTTTGTATCTAATTCAAACAGTGTGACTCTTTTTCAGGTACTTGCCACCCTAGTACTGAGTCAAGGCAAGACAAATAATTTGTCTTTTTGGGAAAAGCCAGTTTTATGCTCACACTTCTTACCTCTTTTTTTTTCCTCCTTCTTCTTGAAAGCAGCTGTGCTGTTCAAGCCTCTGACAACCTGCCAGATGAATTTCCAGAGCTGGCTTGCCTTCCCATTGTGGGTATTGCTGTGCTGTCTTCTTCAGACATCTGCCATTCAACACGCTACATCTCACAACTGCACCAGTGATGGTTAAAGGATATCCTTCAGCCACTCCTGCAAAACTGACCTGCCCACTTTCTCCCAGATTAAGGTGGAAGCAGATCCATTACAGCATGAACACAACAGTGATGTGCAGCTAGATCCTGGGGAAGCCAAGGAAAATGAAGAGCAGAATATAATCTTTAGGCGCAACATCCATCTGCATGCAACCAAAGGGGACTGTGAGGCTTTGACCCACATTAAGGGTTTGCTTGGAAGGATGGAGAAACTTGAGAAAGAAGTGGCAGAGCTGAGAGAAGTTTACAGCCCTCAGAAGTGCTGTGGGGGAAGCCAAGGTAACAACTGCAGGATCTGTTCTTACATCCCAGATACAGCCTATTTACTGCAGAGGCTGGGGACTGGAATCCATTTGTTAAGGTTATGGGGGCTCTCCATCAGCAGAATGCTTGAGTCCTATAGAGGCTATGGTGTTCTCGTTTCTGTGATGGGAAAGGAAATCTGAAGGTCCCAAAAATCTTCCCAGGCATCTCCTAGAAGTGGGAGGGAACAAGTTTGTGAGTTTCCTATAGGTGGGAGGATTTAATGGAGGAATTTCTGGAGGACAGGAAGGTGGAAACTGAGGGAGGCACTTCCTGTTGCTGTCTTTTCTCATTTTGTGCCTCCAGAATTTTGTAGTTGTGGAGAATTTGTCTTTTTATTTCAACCTTGGTAACTGACTAAAAGAAGAGCAGAGTTTATAATGATAATGTTTTGCAGTGGCAATTGGCTCTGCCTCTGATCAAAGTTTTATACCACATAGCCTCCAAAAAAAGATTTAACAAGCTGATTTTTTTGAGGAATGGAGATGGGAAGAAATGCTGAGTCTTTGCTTAAATGAAAAATACTGATGTATAACAGATGAGAACAACGTGCTCTCCATCTTTAGAATAACCATGGTGAGAAATTATGAGCTTTGGTTACAGCCAGAAAGATTCAGGTTAGAAGCTGTGAATCTCTGGAGCCCTCAACACAAGAAGGATGTGGATCTGTTGGAGCAGGTTCTGAAGAGGGCCACAAAGATGGTCATTGGGCTGGAACCTGTCTACTCTAAGGACAGGCTGAGAGAGCTGGAGTTGTTCAGCCTGGAGAAGACAAGGCTCCAAGGAGACCTTCTTGCCACCTTCCAGTGTCTGAAGGGGGTCTATAATAAAGCTGGGGAGGGACTTCTTGACTTTTCGCTTGAGTTGATAGGATGAAGGGTGATAGGTTCAAACTGGAAGAACATAGGTTTAGATTAGAAATTAGGAAGAAATTTTTCACTCTGAGGGTGGTGAGACACTGGCCCAGGTTGCCCAGGGAAGTTGTGGATGCTCCATCACTGGAAGTGTTCAACACCAGGGCTTTGAGCAACATGGGTTAGTAGGAGGTTCCCCTGCCTATAGCAGGGGGATTGGAACCAGATGACATTTAAGTTCCTTTCCAACCCAAACCGTTCTAAGATTCTATGAAAAGCTTTCAAATTGACTT